TACCCTACGGACAGCGGACATCGGACGGCTTGCTCTGAATAGATGGTTAATTTGTAGACTTTTAAGAAAACCTACAACAAGAAGAACAAGGGTTCGTTCGCGGCACTTGCTTTTTACTAAATAATAAATAAATTATTGATGTATAACCAACAACCCAAATACACAACACTCTACACTAAACAAACACCTATATATTAGATAATATATATGAATGTATAAACACCCGATTTGCCGTAAACCTCCAACAGAAACTCGACAAGATGATCGCTGAATATGAAATAAACTTGAAATTTTCCAACCAGCATACCGGTGGGACCCCGAAAGTCCCAATTTTTTTTTTATATATAATATTCATAATCTTTAAACGTAAAACCTAGTCTCGTAGCATTATCATAGTTAAGGTAACGTTTTTTTTTCAGAATAAACTTAACTCGCGAAAGAAAATACCGAAATACATGTATTTAAACTTTAAATTCTAAAGTTAATTGATAATAAAACAAACACAAATCGAATTCTTGAGCCTGCGAGCGAGACGGCACGATGGCAGCGCAAGCGAAAGAGAGCGAGAGAGAAGATACAGATGAGCGGTACAGTCAGCACGTTACAATGTTGAGTACAGTGCGGAGTGGAGCTTACAGTTGATATATATTGTACATTGATGTTAGGCTAAGCAAATAAATAGCCAAATATTTGTTTTTTCGCCTAGCTGAATATCCACATATTACGTATTTACACAAATATATAACTTTATTAGTCCTTAAGCGGGCCCATTCGAAAGGTGAAACCAAGGAGCTGTGGCAACCTTTTACTAAAAAAAAATGAAAAACCAAAAACTTACAAATTTAGACATATACACACATATTTGTGAACAAACTGAAAACTGAATTTTATGATAAATCTATGAGAATTTTTAGGGTCGTATTCTTGATAAATTGATATTTGAATGTTGAATGTACACTTTAACCAGACACTTAAAACACACACACACGAACACACAGAGGCATCCTGCTATTGGAGTGAATCAAGCAAATTATAATATTTCCTCGGTGTACTAGGTGTATTGATGTATTTTCAGTGTCCAAGCCAAAGAGCCCTTTACAAAATCAAGTTGGTGTAATAAATGTGTGTTTTAATCACAATGCGGCCATGTTTTCCCTTTCAATTGGATATCAATGAGTTTTGAATTAGGCACACTGAATAGGCTTGGCTTTTCGCTCGCTTTTCGACTGATAAGTATTATTTCAGATATTTTCACTTTTAGCTCCACAGACAATCTAACAATTTTTGAATCGCCCGCGCCATATTGCTTGCAGCCCTGGCGATAGTCGATCGCCGATTGCCGATAGCAGTAGGCTATCGATAGGCACTGGAAGGCGAGAAAGAGAGGGGACGCGAATCAGCTGCTGGAATGACTGTTGTTGGAAGCGCCAGCGCCTTCCAATGTCAATTAAATAAGCAAAACCAAAACGCGAAGAAAAGCCAAGCGAAACGGAAAGCAGATTCTCGTTGCCGCGGACGAAACTAAAAACCAGGAAATCATCACCAGCACACACACACACATTGCCAAACACCACACACCACATCCGCATCCGGACGAGGTGGCACTGCGGGCAGGAAGAACGTAACGTAAGTGTTCTATTCTCCGTTCTCTTCTGTTGATTCAGCGGACTTACACTACGCAATAAACGATAACGACCTTCCCCTCCTCCACCGCCACCCTCTGAAAACCACCACCCACCAACCCACTCCCCTACAGCGCAGCAGTGGAGCAGCACCTGCCCACCAACCAGGAGCTACCAGGTCGAGATGCCCCAGATGAGGGCAGCGGCCGCTGAGGCGGTGGCCGCCGGCAGCGCCAACGGGCAGCCGCTGGTCAAGATCGGTCATTACCTGCTGGGCGCCACCCTGGGCACTGGAACCTTTGGCAAGGTGAAGATCGGCGAGCACCAGATCACCCGGGTCAAGGTGGCCGTCAAGATACTCAACCGGCAGAAGATCAAGAGCCTAGACGTCGTGGGCAAGATCCGGCGAGAGATTCAGAATCTAAAGCTCTTCCGTCATCCGCACATCATCAAGTTGTACCAGGTGAGCCAGCGCGCAAGCACTTAAGCATTCCACATATGGGGACTCCGCCCTACAATGTATACTCTTGACCATAAACAGCAACAATCAATTGATTACTTTACCGAAACGTACAACAGAAACGCGATCCTAAGTACAAACAATGAGTTTTCTCGTCATCCTGGTCATTGACCAGGGTAAATAAATCCCAAAGACCAGGGCAGCGAAGGGTTCCTGGAGGTACCGCAGAAACTGGGGCACTAGTTTGCTTATGACAAGGCCGTTAGCCAGAAAACAAAATAAACATGATTAAAATAAACAAATAACAGAACAAGGGCTTCTTTATGAGAGCGAAGTGGGGAATACCCTTCAAGAAAGAGGATTGATTCTTGGTGATATAGGTTCCTAACTTTAACAGAACTTTAAAACCCAAACATTCGTTTATAATAATAATAATAGTTTTATAATAGTTTTTATATGGATAACCTATGCCCAAAGAACTATAAAAAATATTAAAATCGGGACTGAGGGACTTCAACCAATAATACAACTCCCATTAATTGATAACCCACTTTGTTACCCCCCAAAGGTCATATCCACGCCCTCGGACATCTTCATGATCATGGAGTACGTGAGCGGCGGAGAGCTGTTCGACTACATCGTAAAGCACGGCAAGCTGCAGGAGCACCAGGCGCGCCGCTTCTTCCAGCAGATCATCTCGGGCGTGGACTACTGTCATCGGCACATGATCGTGCATCGGGACCTGAAGCCGGAGAACCTGCTGCTCGACCACAACATGCACGTGAAGATCGCTGACTTCGGGCTCTCGAACATGATGCTCGACGGCGAGTTCCTTCGCACCTCGTGCGGCTCGCCCAACTACGCGGCTCCCGAGGTGATCTCCGGCAAGCTGTACGCCGGACCCGAGGTGGACATCTGGTCGTGCGGCGTAATCCTGTACGCCCTGCTGTGCGGCACGCTGCCCTTCGACGACGAGCACGTGCCCACGCTGTTCCGGAAGATCAAGTCGGGCATCTTCCCGATACCCGAGTACCTCAACAAGCAGGTTGTTAATCTGGTGTGCCAGATGCTGCAGGTCGATCCCCTCAAGCGGGCCAACATCGAGGAGATCAAGAAGCACGAGTGGTTCCAGAAGGACCTGCCCGCCTACCTCTTTCCCTCGTCCATCGAGCAGGACTCCAATGTGATCGACACCTATGCGGTGGCCGAGGTCTGCACCAAGTTCGGCGTCAAGGAGACCGAGGTGCACAACTCGCTGCTCAGCGGCGATCCGCACGACCAGCTGGCCATCGCCTACCATCTGATCATCGACAACAAGCGCTTCGCCGACGATGCGGCCAACCAGATAAACGAGATCAACAACTTCTTTGTGGCCGGCTCGCCACCGCCGCCGCCGCCACCGCCCGTTCCCCACCAGTCGTCGCTGGACAACCAGGCACCGCTGGCCACCGTGACTGTGGGCGGAGGCACTGCAGCCAGCTCCGGCACGGCCACGCCCGTGCCACCGGCCTCGGGCGGCACGCCTAGCAGCACCATCCGGCCGCATCCGGAGCGGATTGCCCCGATGCGGGAACGCCAGCTGGCCATGTCCGTGCAGACGTCGGGTGGCGGTGCGTTTCCGGAAAAGACCGCTCGCGGCGGCACGCCCATCAAGCGCGCCAAGTGGCATCTGGGCATTCGGTCGCAGAGCAAGCCGAATGATATAATGCTGGAGGTGTACCGGGCCATGAAGGCCCTCAGCTACGAGTGGAAGATCATTAATCCGTACCACGTGCGCGTGCGACGACAGAACGTAAAGACGGGCAAGTTCTCGAAGATGTCACTGCAGCTATACCAGGTGGACGCCAAGAGCTATCTGCTCGACTTCAAGTCGCTGACCAACGACGAGGTCGAGCAGGGCGACGACGTCATCATGGAGAGCCTCACGCCGCCCCCGCTTAGCGTGTCCGGAGTGATGCCGCTGCAGCCGACCGGACACCACACCATGGAGTTCTTCGAGATGTGCGCCGCCCTGATCATCCAGCTGGCGCGCTGAGAAGCCCGGTGACCGCCGTCGGCCGCAGCGGATTCGATGGGATCTTCTCGGTTGGCGATCTGCCATCTCGGACCGCCCTGAGGATTGACCAAGACCACCCGGATGACACAGTCCCACAAAGGAAAGCTGCGGAGGCATGGAGTTTGGGGTTTCAATCACTTGACCACGTTCTAAGATTCGACACAACCACTGCTGATTTCAATCGGAATCGATTCCGATGCGAAATATGCCCTTTGTCCGCTTCTCGAACCCTATTGAATAGAATTAGATGCACAACAAATTGCATGCACAAGAAGCCCTGTTGCCGTTCATAAATTTTATTAAAATTGGAAAAATGTAACATTGAAAATGTAGTTTTTCGAAAATGTGCAATTCGGTGAAAATCAAGGAGAACCCATTAAAAACGGTGGCAGGACTGAATAGCTTTTTAACCATAACACTCGAACTCCGACCCCGGCTTCCCTTTGTGCGGCTGTGTATTCTGAATAAAATGTTTTTGAATTCGGACGACCGCCGGCCGTAACCGCTGATATGCTACCGTTACCCGCTTTTGCCGCATCCATTTCCGCTTCCGGTTAGTCGTAAGTTTGTAGGTTCCGCCACCAAAATCGCACCGATCGGTCGGCGGACTTTGAACCGCCTCTGTTCTGTTTCTATATCGATTTCTTTGTTTATATATACAATGTTGAGTTATATTATTTTACCCGAGAATCCATACCGTATGTGTACGTCTATTTGTATTACGCCTAACGAGAATTGTAATCGGCACCTTGTCTGGGGCATGTTGTTTGGATTGTAACTAGATAACCAGATTTGGGCCAACGAGTTTTATGTATCTGTATAAATAAACCACAATAAAGCGATCCATTAATATTCTAAACCATTAAAGTAAGATTAGTTTTTATTGCATATTAAAGTATTTTGTGCACACTCAGTTTCAATGATTGCAATTCCCGCCTCGACATTGGGCTGTATCGCAGTAACAGTCTCCCGTTTCATTTTGTAAAATCATGACCTCCCAGTTGCAGATCCCAGATCCCATCCAATCCACCTATCCTTCCTTCCATTGAACTACTGTTTCTGCTGCTGCTTCCGCTTCAGTTTGTCGATGAGCGTCTCAATGCTGTTGGCGTCCACCAGGCCGATGAACTTGTCCACGACGACGCCATTCCTGAAGGCCAACACAGCGGGCACGGCCTTCACCTCGAAGGTCTCGACGAGATCCAGGTTCGTCTCCACATCGATGACCGCCAGGTCGATATCGTTCGAGTTCTCCAGCAGCTCGAGCATCTTGGGCGTGAGTATCTTGCAGGGATCGCACCATTCGGCGTGGAAGTTCACGATCACCGGGTTGTCGCTGTTGATGACCTGTGGAATAAAGGATAGGGCATTAGAATTGATGATATATAATTTGTATATTTAGTATTGTTTAAAAGTGTTTACACAACGCAGTGGGGTATTTCCTAGGAGCCCATCATAGTATTATAAGGTCATGCACATAACGTCATAATTGATCAGTTTACTTATAGGCATAACGTCATGACATTCGGAATGATTCATCTTGTAGTTTTGCCTGCTTTATTGGTACATTTAAATTCCTGTCACTTTCAGATAACCATATTTATTCTTTAAGTTATAGTGGGATGGCAAATAATGGCTACTGCTGAATCTATAGAACACTGTATACTATATGATGTAGTTACCCCTTTTCTTATCTTGCCTAATCCACCTGCAATTGATAAAGTGAAGAGGGGAAGTGTGGAGCCATGTGCTGGTGGATCTTCTGCAGCTGGCTCCCCCAACTGGCTAAAAGGGGTTCAAACCGGTATGCAATATTTTTGGGGGGGCTCATTTGCATACTCGAGTCACACGGGCAAACAAAAACAAGCAAAGAGGCGAGTGTGCGCATACACATGTTTGGACACGGGTCGGGTCCATGGCCAAGTGCGTCATGGGGTGGATCCAACACCTCTATCTCCGTCACCACCCCTTTTGCCTCCTCCGCCCCTGCCCCCCCCACGGGAAACCAATCACGTACGCCAGCAGCAACGTAGCAAGGTCATTTCCCAATTCCATTCCCGCTCCCATTCCCGCTCCCCCTTCCATTGCATAATCCTGACTCACCTTCTGATCGAACTCGTAGTGATCCTTGATGACCAGCATCTTGTGGAGGTTCTGCGACTGCGACAGGTACTTCTGGGTGGCCTTGGCCGCCTGCGGGGCAATCCTGTGGCAGCTGCTCTGGGCACTGGTGGCTCCGATGGAGCAACAGGCAGCCAGACGTGGCGCTATTCCCTCGGCGGCAATCTTCAGCATTGTGGACTGGGTTATTGAGCTATTCGGTGCGGGGGCGATTGTGGATGTGGATGCAGATGCGGAACACGGGGATTCGCAACGATTAGATTGCGGCGCTTGGGTGTTTAAATAGTTTTTTCCGTGTGTATACTGCGTGTGCGTTTCAATGTTTGTTTATAAACTGCGGATGGAATGCCAGCGCTGTGCAACACTGGCACTTGCGCGGCGTTGCCACCTGGCGGTATTCAGCTCCTCGAGGCACTAAAACTAGCTAGAAAATATAGGGTAAATATTGAAATCGCTTTAATTATCAATCAATCTTATTGCAAAAATACCGTATAAAATCTGAAAATGAATAATTACCTTATGTGACTTTATTGATTCGATCTCAGTAAATTATACGTTGAAAACTAACTTTCCGCTTTTAAAATTCTTTAGTGGTTGTTTACAAAATAATATTATACATTTTATAAGTTATAGCGCAGGAGATATTTTGAATAGATTTTCTCTTTACTCAAAGTTTCTCTGATCACTTTATAGGTTTTGATCATATATTTATTAGACTAACGCACTAATTCAAACAGTGTTTTAATTCAAACCAAATAAATGATTAATAGTTTTAAGAGACCATCGTAAACTTCTATTCTTTTAAGTTTTCTTAAGTTTTTAATACATGTAATGGAACATTTGTATTTTTATTTATTTAACAACAATTCTGTTCAGACCAGAGAAAAATCACCAGTTGCTCGATTTCCTCCTTCACTGTTTTGAATTTGGCGCCCTGCCCTCCCCTCCTCGTCCGCGCTCCGCCCTCCATCACTCTGTTTCTTTTCGCCGTGCCACAACAAAATCTGGCATTTTGAAGTCGCGCGTTCGCCTGTTCAGCCGCGCTGCCGCCAGAGCAGAGTGTTGTTGTTGTTGCGATTGTTCCGTTCGTTCTGTTCTGTTTGTGTTTTGCTTCCCGTTCTTATTGTTTTTCCCGACTGGAGTGTGTACGGTGCCTCGCTTCCAGTACCTTTTATTTTTTTTTCTAATTTTTGTTTGGTTTTGGTTATAAAGAGCGAAAAGCGGCAAAGCGTCCTGGCGTAACTGTAACTGTAATTGCCACCCACACACAGGCACAGGCCCACAGGTTGAAAGTCGAGCTCAGAGCGTACATATGTATGTGTGTGGAAAAAAGTGCTGCATAAGGTGGGAAAGAACATTGCGAAAAGCGGAGATTGTGGCATTTGAGGACGAACCGAAGCGGAAGAAGAGGAATACGAAAACGAGCGTGAGTAAAAAGTAGCATAAAAATCGCAGAACATAACAAAAATCAAACGTAATTCGCCATCAAGATTCCAATTGAAGTTTCAAGCTCCGTCTGTGTGTGTGTGTGAGAGAGAGAGGGTCGTTGGTGTGTGTGTGTGCGTACGTGTTTTTCCACCCCAGGAGCGCCGCTTGAAAATCCAAATTGAACAAAAATCCAAAACGCGGTTTGGGTTTCGGATTTGTTTAATACCCTCCCTGTTTTCCCTTTGAAACGTGTTTATTTTCCACAGCTGTTTGCACCTTTTTCTTCCTCTTGTCCTTTTTGCCTGCGATTTATGACATCAACACACGCTTTCAGCACACACACGCACACACTTTGACCAAAGCTTTGTCCTTAGACCAAAGCTCTCGCTTGATTCCGATTCGTGCTTACGGTAAAGTCGCAGTTGCTTTGCTTCCTTTTTACGTCCTTTCCTTTTGGAGCGCGCTTTATTGTTGCTTTCGTTTTGTCCTCGACTTTTGTCGCATTAATTGTTATCGATTTATGGCGAAATGCCACTTAACGTAATTTCCAATCAATGAAGAGCAGGGGAAACGGATATGTACAAATGAGGTTATGATCGTAAGCCAGAGTTTTAATTAACCAAATTAGAGCAGAGTTGATGGTATCTTTTTCTAACTAAAGAAATATTAATTTTGAAAAACATGTCAATTGCAGTTTTTAATGATTCATCATCCGCTTTTGGGAAAAGTATATCATTCCGTAAATGCCTTTAGTTTTTCTGTAAGAGAAGTGTTCCACATTACTTTAATAGGAATATTTTACCCTAGTTTTCCCTAGTTCTCGCGTTGATCAATCGTTTCCAAAAATTTTTACCCAAAAATAATGGAAAACTGAAAACAAAAATTGGAAAAGCTGGCGCACGAACTGTGGGTGGGGGGAAGGAAAACTTTTATGATGATGCTTTGGCCTAAAAATACCGCACCCAGCAAACGTCTCATTTTTCCGAGAGTGCTCCAAACGAATTCTCCAAGTTCCATTTGCGATCCCCTATAGCCGATCTCGTGCGATCTGATCTGTTGATCTGTATCTGAACCCAGATCGCCTTGGCACTTTGGAATCATCGACTGAAGGGGATAGGTAGGGATATCCACGTCTAATTTTGGGCTCGTCTTGAGCAGCAGGTTCTTCTGCCGTCTACCGTCTAGCGCCCAGTACCCATTTCTATTTTCCCGATTTCCATTTCCAGCCCCATGCCATGCCATAGACACACTCGAAGCCCGCACTCTTCTATTTCTGATCCGGCTATATATAGAGCCCCGACTTCGACTTCGGCTTAGTTCGTCGGGATGGGATGGGATGGGATGGGATTTCGACTGCCAGCCGAAAGGTGGAAAGGGAAGTTCAATTACCTTTAAATGGATTACACAAACAATCCAGGAGAGGGGCGGAAGCCTATATTAAACACAGGCACGCACTCACACCCCAGAACTCAGACCTCAGAACTAGATAAAGCAACACAAACAGAGACACAATGCGGAGCAAGGCGATCGGGCCTCTGATCCCGAATCCGATCGCGATTCCGACTCCAATACCGCCTCCCCACCCCTTTGTCAGGGCCCCCTGAGCCCCCCCTAGCCCCCTGAGCCCCGGAAAAACTGGGAAAAGCGGGAAATGCGGGGCCAGGGGGCGGGGGCACTGCTCTGGCGGTGCTGCCAAAAATAAATTTGAACTCAAATCGCAGCGTCAGGCGCGAGAGGCGAGGAAAACGAGGAGGAGAGGCTGCCAAGGAAAAGAAAAAACCAACGCAACGAATTCGCCTCCAAAGACCGGCCCATGTCGCTCTCTTTGGACCTGCGGTAGTACTTCTGGCTACCCACCCAAAACCAGCACTCTTCGCATCCGACACTGGTATTCGGAGGGTACATATGTACCTGCATATAATAATTAGTTTATTATCATCTTGAATTGCTTAATTTTTGTTGACCCAATCTTAGTTTTCATGTCCTATTGATGTGCGAGATATCGTAGATCTCTTTGCTGTTAAAACTCGCAGCTTATAAATATGAAGAGTGGAGACCACCATTCTAAAAATCCTTTCAGGCTAATAAAAGATCTCATCACTATGAAATCAGATTCCTATATGAGCCGTAATTAGACGTATTAGATGTATAAAACCTATGGTAAAACACACACTGATAAAAAAATGTAATAGTATTGAATTAAAAATGTTTTATTTCATATTTAAATGTAATACAATAAGCATTATATTAGGTATAAATATTAAAACTGCATGATTTGATATGAACATATATATAACAAGGTGATATTAGCTACGATTTGATTCAAAGTTTAAATCCCTTAAACTGTCTATTTTGTAATTTGATAAAATCAGCAAAAAAATTAAATCATGCAGGAAAAAATTTAAATTAGAAAGAAATTTAAGGTACACACAAAGTTTTTATCTATATATTTTTTTTGCCAGTCTGCGTACTTTTCTTATTGAGATTCGGCTCGATTTTTTTCAAAAGTGTGGTTCAAGTTCCCACCAAACTTTACAAAACAAGGACGTTACCATGATTTTCACTGAATCACGGATTTCGGCAGGTATTACGAGGCCAGCTCAAGGATGGTGAAGGGGCAAAAGGTAGGGGCTCCAGAAGTCGGATGGGTCTACGTGGTCGACCTCATTAGTTTCGAGTTTCCAAAAGCGCACACACACTAGCGCACATACAACCAGCCGACACACACGGGAAAACGGAAAAAATGGTGAAAAGCCGAAACGGAAAATCGAAAATGGAATATGGTTTTCCATACGTTCGGACCCATCAATTTTCATCATCGGCAAGAGAGCTTAAACAGGGGCTATTTGTAAACGCAGGCATCTGTTAGCTGCTCCCGCCGCCCATTCCGCCCACCCCACCCCGCTTCTAGCCAAAAGCCAAAAATCAAACCGATCCCTCTCTCGCCTCTCGTTTCCTCCGCCTCCTTTTCTACTCCTCCTCTCCTCCTCTTTTTGCCTCATCTTTGGGGCAGCTATTTTTAAAGTCGAAAATACTTTTCAGCTGCCAAGTTGCGAGATGCCAAGTACAGTTGCGTACTCGAGCGATTGGACCAGATCAGATCGGATTGGATCAGGTCGGGTTGGATGAGATTGGTTCAGACCTTGGCGGCAAGCGGAGGGCAGAGAGAATCAAGCAGGATCTGTACCGGATAAGGGGGTTACAAGGTCCCCCCCACAGGTGTCTCCAAAGAAGTCATAAAGCTCACAGGGACAGAAACTCCATTTATAGTCTCGAAGCTCTTGAAATCAGAAATTCTATCTAGAATTTCAAGTTTAAGGCAAACCAAAAAATGATTATACTACCAGATACTATTGAGGAAACTTTTCAAAATATAGGATTAAGAAAGAGGGTTGTGAGGTATTTTATCCTTCCATTAAAAAACCAGGTGTACTGAAGTTAAAAAGTCAATAGGGCCATATATTACTAAACTATACAAATTTCTGAGGGTTCCCAAGTTACAGAAGGAGATCTCAGGATATAGATATCTTAAGATACGATCAATTGTATGCAAGAGAAGATCTAAGTTAATCTTTCCAAAATATGATTGATAAGCTTTTTAAGGACTCTGGAAATCACCGATTACTCCAAAGATTTACGTAATCCTTTGGATGGCGCCCCTGTTGAGGGCATACAAAGCCATACCAGGCTGGATTTTCTTTGGTTTTCCTTCTGACCTGCTGATCGGCCTGGCGCTGCTTTTCACTTGCTTGTGGCTGTGCGCAATGTAAAATCGTTTTTCCCGAAGCTCCGCTCTTTCTCTTTCTCTTGGACAGACACGCAGCCACAGATACAGATACGGATATACGGATACAGATACAGATACAGATGCGCGGTGGCAGAGCAGAACTTTCGGTTGGAAATTTGCCAACCCCTCATGG